AAAGCAGTGCCCAAATTCAAAGGTGGTTAAAGCAGAAGGATCAGTGGAAGCAGCCAAAACTGTTACAATCTCTGCCTTCTTCCAGGCTGCCTCCTACTGCCTCTGTTACGATCCCCCTAAACTCTGTGGGGACTCACTGATTTCAGGTCCAGCAGGTAGACTCTTAGAGCCTGTGGTTTAAACACAAACTGTTCGGTTCAATAAGGGATCCTACAGAAGTTTGAATAAAGGCTATCCTTGTTCACTGCTCTTTTGGTGCATGAGAAAAAAAAACACATGCAATTTAAGGAGGAATAGATGTTTTCTGAATCATTGTCTAGAGGTAAGAAGAGTATGCTGATTTTCTCATAATAATGGAAGACTCTGCTCATGTTCATGCCCCGCTCCAAAATGTCTGCGTTGTCCAAATGTTGCCTTGTGCTCTGGACAGCATCTGAAATGACTCAGCTGCTGAAGCTGTGAGAGAAGGGAGTTAAATTCTGGCATCACAAACTTCAGCCAGCATTTGTCCAAGAGAGCAGAGACATAACCACCCTGACCATTCCTAGGGATGAAGGGATCTTCACATTGCTTGCTGCCCAGACTCTGCTCTTGACATGTCCCTGGAAGAAGGTTCGCCTCTGTAAGAGCTGCTAATTTTTGGCTTTCCAGAGGCCAATATGTTTGCATAAAACTGTTGGCTAGAAAAAAATTATGAGTTAAAGTGTAGAGTTGCAGGGCACGAAAGATAAGAAAAGCAGGAGAAAAGGCTGACTGAAACAAACTTCTTGCTGTAACAAAGGCTATTGGGGGGGCTGCCTCTCACAGAAAGTGATTTGAAGTTGTTGAACAGACGTCGCCTGCTTTTTAATGTCTGGCAGAGTCCTAGCAGTCTGCACTGCATCTCACTAGGGAATCCAGGCAACTGAGCAGTGATGAGAAAGGAGAAAAAAAAAAGAATGAGGTATTGAGAAATAGAGGTAGCAAAATTAGAGGTAGACTTCAATTTATGATTTGGAAGCCAAAGAGAGCTCTCCAGGTGATTGAGCAAGCTGCCTTTGGTAGCAGCAGCTCTCCATACAGCTTCGAGTGACCAGCTTCTAGATTGCTTTGGTTTGTAGTCACGAATAAGCACTCCCCCTGGAAATTACTGAAAACAGCCTACCACATCAGCTCACAGGCTTATAAAGTTATATTTTAATTGTGTTATTAAACCTTTCTCACTTTTGCTTTTGTCTGTTTACCTTCCTGATTCATCTGGATCAAGCTGTGCCGGAATGGGAATGTGGTTCCTCCTGAATTGTGCTGTTTATTTGTAATAGGATGTGTAATGAGAATGGGTAAAACCCACTGCCCAGAAGCAAGCTGAAATTTATCTTACTCGTTCTATTAAAGGACTGATGTTGGAGGGAGAGGAGGGTAGTGCTATAGAAATGTACTTTAGTAGTAGAAAAAGAATTTTGTTTCCATTTCATTTGGTATAAAGCATCCAGACATAGGTTGATGGACAGAAGTTATCATCTCTGTTCTCACCTTAGCTATTTCCTTCCTTTCCCAATCCTTTTCTCTTTCCTCTGATTTGAAATTCATCTTTGTATGGCTCAAGGGACTCATTTTGGTGGGCTATCTTAGCAGTTCCTATCAGAAAGGTTATGCTAAACAGTTGAAAAAATCAAATAAACTCTTTTGACTCCAGGACCAGTCAGACAGAATTACTACTGGGACTGGGACAGGAAGATCTGCAGATGCCACTGCTTTTTTCCTTTATAAGGAGTGACTATTGCCTTGTGTTGAGTAAATTACTGCATTTTCTTTTCAATTATATCTGGTCACAATTGCGTTCTGATTTGTGACAGAAGTCACAGAAGACAGAAGCTCACGTTGTATCTCTAACTTGAAACCATGGGTGCTCACCTTTAAAAAAATACAGATGCTTGACAGATATTGTTACTAAAGAATATAGGAGATAACGCTGCTATTGCTTCGAGTGAGACACAGCACTGACCCCTCAGGCACTTTCAGTAGTCATCGGTGCAGTTCTACCGCAGCCTGTTCTTTATCACTTAGTTCCCCCATCACACACAGCTGTATGACGTTACTAAGGGGACACGCCACAGAGGTGAGCTCCAGGGACTTTTTGGAAGGTTTTCTGGCAGTAGAATAGACCATTGATTTGTTAACACAAACAAACAAGTAAATTAAATCAATTAATAAATTGATTTAATATGTTAATTAAATAATACACCTAAGCCTGGACACACCCAAATTCTCAGCTATGCAGATGTAATTCAGATTCTGAGGGAAACTATTATTACACACAGACTCATGTATAAGGTGTTGAACAGGAACAATGGGGGCTACCGGCTGTTATCTGAATGGATTTATTTTGCCTGAATATTTCAAGATATTTTTAGTTTCCTACAATAACAAATAATCCTCAGCTCTTTGATCAATCTGATATTACAGCAAAAGAAGAGAAGGAAAAAAAGAGAAAGGAATTGCCATCTGTCATCTTTGGCTAATTATTTCAAGCCCTACCTTGTTTCATACACTGCAGCACACTATTTTAGGACTTGTTAACTGAGAAGTCTTCAACTCTGCAAGAGTATAAATGAGTTCACCTCTCGCAAGCTCCCTACTGCTCAGCATGTTGTGCCGTCATTTCATACAACCTTTCTCCCAACCTAATGTCATGATTTATTAGTTCGGTCAAGTCTATTTTATCCTGCTCCCTCAGCTGAACTGGCTTTTCAGTGTAAGACTCTGTTTTGTTGCCTATTTTTGTGGGTGTATGAGAAAGGAGAGGAAACAGGACTTCATTCCTCCAAACTCCTGTTAGCAGTCCAGCGCCTTGGCATTAGCTCTTCTGTAGTTTTTGGAGTGAGACAGTAAATGACGGAGGTTGCTGCAAGTCTGGAGGGACCAAAACAGGCAGCGAACATTCATCTGAAAATGAGCAGTATTTATGTGAAAAGCAATACACAATGTGCTTCTTCAGAGGGGACCCAGGAGCTCCTTGCTTCCACCTGTCCTGCGGATGTAGCGCCCCAAAGAATCATGCAGAGTGAGGAAGCATCTTCATTTTCTAAAGACTTACCCTAAATTTCCTCTTGTGCCCTGAGATGTAGATTACCTAAGCACAGAACACATTTTTTTTGCCTTATAACTGAACTACTTTGGCATTCTGGGTGAATTGAGACTTTTTTTTTTAACTCTCCTGCTGAAAAAGAATTTCTTGTTGCTTTCTCATTAGTTTTTTAAAGGTTAAGGTGCAACAGGCTGGGTAAAATAGAATTTCTCCTCATTTTGTAAGTGCTGACAGTTGTCGTACTCACTATCTTTTATTTTCACAAAAAAATGCCTTTTTTTTTGGGTTCCATAAGCAAGCTGGTGTTTTTCCATATAACTGGAGAACAAGCTTCCAGATAAATTTTTAAAGTCTAGATATGTAGAAACAATGTGATTAAGAGTTGATTTAACAAACAGGAAAGAAACAAACAAGCTTTCAGAAACTAATAAAATCTCTCTATAAAAATTTAGATCCTTTTGAGCTTTTTAAAAAGCAGGGGGAAATGAAATCTTTCAATGGCGGTTTATTTATTTTATGAAATGGCTAAATAGCCTGAGCTAAAATGCTGCATTTGTGCATTTTAAGCTTTGGCATACTTGGAGATAAACTGTGGTATTGTCCTTGGTAAGAGTAAGCTTATTTTCTTTTGAAATTAAGAACTACAAGTGGACAGTGATGGTAGGAAAAGAGATTTTTTTTTGAGAGAGAACGTTACAGAAAGACTACTAAATGTCATCCCAAAACTCTGAACTTCCCCATAGGTGTCCATTTAAAAACACCACAGAAGATCAAACTCAGTGATTATACTGTGGCTGTGTGAATTTGTTTTGATTTAAAAAGACTTCCAAATATTCCATGAAAATGGTATTAGGGTAAAACATTTTGAAAAACAGTTTTACATACCCTGACCATATTTCACTTCACTGGTCATCTCCTGCTTTTAAGAAGGACAAGTGACAGAACAAAGCTGTTTTTGTGTCAAGCTCATCTAAACCCAGGTAGGAGTAGAGCGCATGTCAAGAGCCCCAGGGGACTGAAAAACGGGGATTCAAATCAGTTTTCCAAGATCGTTGTGTTTTTTCTCTCCGTAGAGCATAGACTGTGCCAGAAAATACCAAAAGAATCTCACTTATGTCTTTCCTACAGCAGCAGCACTCTTAAGATGAAAATTCACACACATTATTCAAAGAAAATCAATAGACTGCAAGAAGGCAATCTAAAGCTTAGCCTGTCTTTATTTTTTTATCTAATTTCTTACTTTGAAATAGATTTCATTTTTTCATACGTTGTTGAAAACTATAGGATCAGTGAATGACATTTCTTCTACATACCTGCCACTTGAAATAAAGTCAAGCAACAAAGAACAAAGAGGAAATTCAGGAGTAAAGTAGAAGAGAATCTAAGCAAAATATGGAAAAATGAGTCATTACTTAAACTTATACTATGTGCTGCACAGGAATGTAAACTAGAATCAGCCATAACTCCCCCACATTTCAACATCTCTGCACTACAGCATTGAAAAAATCCTTACTTCAGGGGACCAGAGATGTAAACCTGACAAAGGAGAGCAAATATACACATACCAGCAATTAAGAAAGGTGGGTGAACTGCCCAGATAACTATGCTATCGCCAATTAAAATCAATGCTTCTGTATTATAACTATCTCCATCAGAAAAAAATATGAACGGATAGTAAGCAGCTATGAATTTTGCAACTTCTTAAACAATTTTCAGTTTTTATACACATTAAGAATAATTATTACAGGCTTGGCTGAGGCAAGCATCTAGAGTGCTATAATAAACAGATCTGCTGTCATTCCCCGAGTTTAGAAAACATAGCACAACTGAACGATGAGACACTACAGACTGACGTGAAAAAATGAAACATTTTTATGGACATCAGAAAGTCAGAAAGAAAGCATAACTTCACAAAACATCACTTATTAGTTACCTGTCCCAGAGAGTAGGTGAAGATTTTGCGAGCCTGCCCTGGAGAATTCTAGGTTGCCATAGGCAGGTTGGCACCCAGGAATTTCGTACCCTGCAGCATGAATAGAGGATAAACCATGGCTAGGTATGGCTCATAAGACATACGAGTGGTAACCTAGCTAGATTTGCTGCATATTAGTAGGCTATGCCATAATTTGGTACTAATTATTATTCAGGAGATCTTACTTTAAAGCAGTAGTAAAACTACAAAACAGGGTGATGTTACAGCACACACATTTAGTGATTTTCTCATATGGCTATTGTTGGTGAGAACAAGCATTTAGGATTGACCTTTTTATGGCTGTAAATAGATGTCACTCCATCTATTTTACTGGAGAAGCACTTGCTCCTAAGATTTGTGAATCAAATGCTTATATTTTTTTCATTGTAAAAACAACAGATGAAACAAATTTATGCTTCATTGAAAGAGGGTCAGCAAAATTCCTTCTGAGCACCATGGTGAGAACATGTTTAACAGTTTTAATTAAATCTGGGCTGAGGTTCAAGTTCCACATACCAGGTTCCATGCACATCTACCAGCAGCAGAACAATAGCTGCAAAATATTTGCTGGAAACGAAAAGCACAGAGAAGCAATCTGAACTAGCAATACAAGCGATGAATAACACACAGCAAATGCAGATCCAGAGCCCAGGAGAAGGCCAACAAGGCAGGCAAATTAGCAATGAGAACTGTTGCCCAACATTGGCATCCAGCAATGTTGGTAAGGTTCAAAACACTCTGTTCCATCCTTAGTCAAGCAAATTCTCACTCAAGTCAAAGGTGTTTTTTCCTGAGTAAAATCTGAGTAAGGACTACGGCATTTGGCCACGCAGAATACCTCATACAGTATTGCTGTGTTCCTTTTGCAATATCAGAAATGCAACATAACATGCCTTGAAGGATAAACTCAATGAAAGATCAGTTTTTCCTCACTCAAGCACATTCATATTTGCAAACCAGAAGTTTTGCACAATCTTTCCCTGTGGTCAGTGATCTTATACATGCAGAAAATCCTACCTTCCAGTATTCACTATGAATTACCAGGGGGTACTGCAAAATAGGGACCTTCTAGACTGTGAACACATCTTTACATACAGGGACACATTTCAGGAGCCGTAGCCGTGCTACAGAGAGCAGCAGAGAACCTCAGTGTTTATGGGTAAGGAGAACCCTCCTGAGTCTCTTGCTACTGCTCTAAGTCCACCCCGGGACTGGCTTCATGTCAAGACCTACCAGTAGCAAGATGATGCTCTTTAAGGCACTCTGAGGAAAAGCACTAAGTGAATTCCAGCACGTTACTCTAGTTGTACTACTGAGTTGTTCATTGAATAAAGAAGGAACATTTTATGGAATATTTTAACTTCTTTTCTACTGGACTTGGGTTAAGTATGTGAAGACACCCAGGGATGACAGAAAAAAACGAGATGGCCTGAGGTTTAAGTGTTGTCATCACACGAATTTACAGCAATATTAGGTTTAAAATAACAGTGGAGGTGAGAATAAATCTCTGCAATCTGTAATACCTCGGTATTGTCAGTTCTTCAGTGAACCGTCAGTATTACTTTGGATTATGTGTCTCACAGCTTTTCTGATGTTCTCAAACTGTAAATCTCATAATCAATAGGTGTGTACTTATTTAATACATACCAGCTCTGCATTACTTCACTATGCATTTTCATTATGAACTATGGGTGTCAGGAAAACAGCCCATTGTAGGAATACAGACTTGAAAATGGTCTCTACCTGGCTCTCCATTACATATCTGCATGTTTTTAGGTACAAAATTGTAAATTGCTCCTAAAAATTAGGTCTTTGAAATCTTAATTTTGAAAAAAAAAAATCAGTAAATTCAGCTACAGGTTTTTCTAGAACCAGTGGAGATTTTTCAATCCAGTACATTTTGCCTATTTATCCACACTTCGCTGAGGAATCCTCCATAGTTGTTTTCAAGTAAAATTACAAAACTTGCAAATTCTGAGATGGATGAAATGAAAACATTGGGCTTTTCAAGCCCACAAAATTAATTAAACTGGGGCTCTTGGGGCAAAGAAGCCATCTGAGCAGGGAGAAATCTCAGCTGTCTTCAGATCTATTACAGGCTCTCCTCCATGTAGTCTTAATCTAACCTATCTCATACCTTTTACTGGTATATAGCAAATAGCTTTGGTATAGATAATCTTGACAAAACATTTTAAGGCTCTGAGGTTGTGAAATGTTTTGACAGAGAGGGGAGGGGTGTGAATTCCACTTTAGCTATTTGCTCAGTGTTTTTCCTGACATCTTTTCGGTAGTAAGTTCCATGTAATTGCTCCATAAATGAGCTAATGCAGAGAAAATCTCTCTGCTCTGAATGTGGTGGGTCTTTCAGAAGCTCCCCAAAGGGATTTAATAACATCCTGTCTCAGATAATCAGTGTCAGTTGTAGTCAGTCTAATCACATTCTCATGTGCAAGGTTGAAAAATAATTAGTAACTGTAAGATTTATTTATTTGCCTGATATACAAACACAAAAATTAATTTGTCAGCTTCTGCAATTTACATGGGATATTGTTTTATCATTGGCAAATCAGAAATGAGCAAAACATACATATATTTTTGTTTAAAGCAACCGTACACTTTAAAGGAAACGAAAGGGGAAATGCTCCCAGTTCTGTCACTGTGTTGTTTCCTTTCTGAAACAACAGTTGTAAGAAACTTGTAAGTATTGAAAATAATAAACATGCATATTGAAAAAGAATATTGTATAGTCACAGTATACAAATAGTACTCTACTACAAGAAAAATATCAGTCTCAAGAACCTGATGAGAAAGTATTTCAGATTATCAAATTTTAAGTTGACTTTTTATTATACTGTAGCATGATAAAGTAACTCATTTTCCTCTTCTACAGAGCTTCCCTTCCCTTATCCCTCACTGATGTGATTGAGACAGACTCCAGTGTCAAGTAAGGTTTGAATTTGGGCATACTGTTGTAATAGCCTGTGTTTCCTTGTCTTGTCCTAGAACATGGAGTATGTTACTTCAAATATTGTCTGTGGCTCATCTGACAATAATCACAGAAGATACTTACAGACCTATAGCCAGTTTGAAAAAAAAAAAAGAAAGGTCGATTTCTCACTAAAACATGATCAAGACTTTATTTCACTGTCTAGAGAAGAACAACTAACAAAGCATCAGTTTTGGTGGCAGATGGTGATTGATCCACTGTGTCTGTAGTAGACTCATACAGACTGCCTTGTCTATTTAAGAAATAATATTATGAGAAAAGTAAATGCAATGCCCCTTATGCTCCCCTCTCCATATTTCATAGGTGAGTAAAATTTGTTACATCTGATGTGTATAAAGATCTCTGGCTTGTATGCTACACTTCAAAAACACTGCTCTTTTTATGCTAGAATATACATGGTTATTTTACAAATGCCAATGCAAATCTGACTGACTTTTCTGAAATAATGTGTTTTTCCGAAGTTGGAGAATATCATGGTTTCTCCTTTCTCCATTTGTCACTGGAGGACTTAGTGATTAGACTTCAGCAGTCTCTAAGCAAAAGCCACCCCAAATCTTGCACTTGTTAAAGGAAGAAGGATTTTCTGCAGAGCAGGAAAGAATGTGTCCTGGTCTGATTTTAGCTTAAACTCCATGCTCTTTAAGACCTGAAAGGGATTTGAAAGTCAGCCTTAAACTGGGTTGTGCTATTATGAGTTCCGTACTTGCCCAATTTAGCCCTATTTTACCCCAGTATGAAGAAGTTAAGCACAAGAACAGCTATTTTTGCTTCTATTAACACCATGCAGCTATTTTAAGGGCATGCTTTTATAAACACTAATAACCCCAGATGAAACATTGACAGGGCAGGCTGGAAGAACCGCAGGGACACCTTGGAACATACTGTCACGACTCTACCTCCACATCCCGTCCTCACTGAAGAGGCACGTGGCAGTGATGCTGATTTAGCATCACAGACTTGCAAGATGCTGTCAGCTACCTTCACTACCTACTTTCCTACCAGTCATGCCAATGTAGGCAACTGGCTGTCATCTCCACGGAACAAAGGCTGGAGCTAATAAAAATGTCAAACAATCCATTTTCTGTGAGGGGGTGGCAGTTCTATTCCTGGAGTTACCCAGAACTATCTATGACCACAGCATTAAATAATGTAAAACCACTGCAGGAACTGTAACGATATATCTTAATGAATATTTTAAATATAATTCCCTAATGGAAAAACAGGGTCCCATGGAATTGGGCATCCCCCAAGCTGGGGTAATCTGCAGGGACTGAACCAGTAGCTCTGCAGTGCGGACACAGATGCTAACAGAGTACGTGGGAATCACAGAATCACAGAATTTTCAGAGTTGGAAGGGATCTCTAGAGATCATAGAAGGAGGCTGGGTGTGTCCATCAAGAAAAGGGAGGAAGATGAGGACACCTGTTATCAGTGAAGTTAATACCTATTTTCTGGCAGTATAGGAATATGGGGATGTTACTCTGTCTGCTCAGTTTAACACATTTTAGGAGATGGTGTTTCACTGGCAAAAGGCCTGCTGGCTTGGGCACCCCTCAGTCTCTTTCTAACCAGGCACAAAAACCCACCCTTTTTCCTCTGGCCCTTCCTTGTCTTTTTTGCCCCACTCTTCTAACAAGCTCCTGCCATGGCTTCTCTTCATCTTCAGCTTTTCTCATCTGTGCAATCTCCATCTAATATGGTATTTCTGGTATGGCCACTGGCTCCTCTTGGTGCATCAGCTGCTGCAATGTTGAAGGTGGAAGACCACTCCCATGTCCACTCTTGGGAAGCCAGACATGACAGCAAGCTCCATCTGCCAGGAGGAGTTAGGGAGGAAGTCTTCTTCGGTCTTGAAACTCTGGGACCAAGAACACTTAACTGAGATTGAACCTATGTGAGATGCAGTTGCCAAACTAATTTGTCTCTGTTAACCGGGTGGGTGTGATCATTTTTTTTTTTTTTTCAGATGCTTTTGACGTGTGCAACTTTGAATGTTTATAAAAATGTTATAGCACAAATTCTTGACACTCTGGAAGGCTCCTTG